GACGAGTGCAGCGATCGGGCGATCGGGCACAACGCGAACGTGCTACTCAACAAAGGACACGTCGGATCCGCTGAATGCCGAAATCGACGACGATATCTACATCGACACCAAGGACTTGTGCAGGCGCATCGCCTGGGAGTTGAAACAGCACTCCATTCCGCAGGCCATCTTTGCCGAACGCATATTGTGCAGGTGCACATTGCACTCTTCTTATCATTGTTATCAGTGTTATCAGTCCTTATCACCGTATCACCCTTATCAGTTGTTATCAGTATGATATGAGAGTGATTGCAGGAGTCAGGGCACACTGTCAGATCTCTTAAGAAACCCGAAACCGTGGAATAAGTTGAAGTCGGGTCGTGAGACGTTCCGAAGGATGTTCAATTGGGTGCAGCAGCCGTTGGAGTTACGACTCGGCATTCTCGATATGTACAAAGGTTTTTTATTATTATTATTATTATTATTATTATTATTATTATTGTTATTTATTATTATTAATGTTATTATTATTATTATTATTATTATTATTATTATTGTTATTATTATTATTATTGTTATTATTACTATTATCGTTGTTAGTATTGTTATTATTGTTACTATTATTGTTGTTAGTATTATTATCATTGTTATTCATTATTATTTATTATTATTATTATTACTATATTATTATTATTGTTAATATTGATATTTTTAATTATTATTTATTATTAATATTAATATTATTATTGTTATTTATTATTGTTATTATTATAATAAATGTGATAATTTGAGGTGATGAGAATTTCGGAGGAGTGTCAGCGTCGAGCAACGGAATGGGGAAGTTGGGAGGGGTGGGGGTGATAGCGGCACGCGTCATGAGTCCGCCGACACCGGCACAGAACGCTCGACAGGGGTCGAGGCATAAGAACGGTGTGGACGGCGGGGAGAACGGTGCGTTTATGCTCTTTTTTATTGTTATTTTATTATTATTATTATTGTTATTATTATTATTGTTATTTTATTATTATTATTATTTATTATTATTATTATTTATTATTCTTTATTATTATTATTATTCGGATCGGCCAGACTATCAAACGTTTGTAACGTTGCTGGCCATAATGTTCGCAATGTTTCCGTGAGCATTGTTTTAGCCTCAATTTACGCCACCCGGCTGGCTAGGCGAGCAGGCCAAATATTATTATTATTATTATTATTATTATTATTATTATTATATTCGGATTGGCAAGCAGGCTATCAAACGTTTATAACGTTGCTGGACATAATGTTCACAATGTTTCTGTGAGCATTGTTTTAGTCTCAATTTACGCCACCCGGTTGGCTAGGCGAGCAGGCCAAATATTATTGTTGTTATTATTATTGTTATTGTTGTTATTATTATTGTTATTATTATATTATAGTGTTATTATTTTAAGCAGTGTTTTCGTAATGATATCTTTGTAAAAGAGAAATGACTGCAAGGCGGACGTATCATTGAAATACCGTCGCGAATGAAAATTAGTGATTTAGCATCGGAATGAAATGAAATTTCAATTGGGTCGAATTGCGATCGAATCGAAATTTAACGTTTAACGTTCTGAATTTGAGATTGCAACCGAATTTTTAGAAAATTTTCGTTCGAAATCCGACCGAATTGACCGAATTTTGGGATTGAGATGGGGGGAATTTTGAAATAATGCGGATTTGG